GCCCAGCAGCCTCAAGGCTGGGTTTAGGGGCTGCCTGCTGGGCTGGCTTGGAAAGGGGGGGCTGGGGGAGTGTCACCTGGGGGAGGGGGGCGCCCCGCGCTGCTGGGGGCTCGGGCGGGGAGCGGGGTGCTGCCCCCTGACCCCCCGGGAGCAGGGGGGCCATGAGCTCTCAGGACGAGCAGTTCCAAGCAGCAGGCCCTGAGCCAGCGGCTTCCTCCGCCGAGGATGGCATGACCTGGTGGTACAGGTGGCTCTGCAGGATTGCCGGGGTCCTCGGGGGCATGTGTAAGTATCCCCTGCCCTTGCAGCCAGAGGTTGCCCCTCGGCATCGCTCGTGCATGCGGAAGCAGGTCAGGGTGCTGCCTCCCTCGTGCCAGGGTCACGCCTGTGTCGGGGAGGGCGCGCGGGAAACACTCGCTCGGGGTCGAGGGTTTGCGTCCGCTCTAGATCTTCGTTTGCTGCGTTGGCACACGAGGGATGCGCTTCGCGCTCGCTGAACCTGCTCAACTTCGGCACCTGGGGGAAGGGGCGTCACGGGGGGCAGCTGCAGATCCTCGAGTTTCTCCTTGGACGCAGCACTCGCGGGAAGCGGGGGGAGCAGCAGCCAAGCCCCCAGGTCCTGTGGGAGGGCTGTGAGCAGATAAACCAGACGATGATTTTATCGTGAGCGCCAAGCTCGGGGTGCTCAGCAGCGTCAGGTTCGGGGGGCTGTGGGGTTTGGTTCGTCCTGTTTGACTGTTGGGTGTTTGTCTGTCCCTACAACTTCTTTCCCTGTTCTGAACGTCGGAGGTGTTTCCTGTTACTCCTGTTGTTGATTGCAGAGGGCCCGCCTGTGGGGTTTTTTTTGAAGGTGAATAATGGACTTGGTTCGTGTTGTGTGTTTTTAAGGGGTTTAGTCTCGGACACAGAGAAGAAGGGAGCCGGTGAGTGAGTTGGCTGCGCTCTGAATTACCTGCTGCTGAAAAAAATTTTCCCAGGGAGAGACTTTGCAACTTTGCCAGAAATCAGCCTGTCCTGTAGTGCTGTTTTGCTACATTCTGTGGAGAGATTAATAGCTCTTAAAAGCAGAAGGGACTGTTATGACCGCTTAGTCTGATCTCCTGCAGAGCACAGGATGGAGAATTTCTTCTGCTTCAGGTCCACGACTTCTAGTAAAACAAGAGTGTTTCTCAGCCAGTGCAGTCAGTCCTGATTTATTCCCTCAGCTGTAGCGTTTTGTCTGATCCCCCCTCTCTCCCTGACCCCTTCCCATGCCTGTGTCTTGCCTCAGGACTTGACTGCACAAGCCCACGGCGTTTCTGAACCAACCTTGTAGACTGTGGTATCGTTGGGCAGGCTTGTTACAGCCCTCTTTGGCTAGGCTGGTAAAACGTATGCTGCTCTCACCGTTTTATGTCTTAGGTGCTGAAATTCTAGAGGTGTGAAAAGATTTGGTAGGACTGCTCTTATGGGGCAAAACATACTGGCCTCGCCATGCTCTGCCTGAGGCCCCCGCGCTTCTGGTCCCGGCAGACAGCCAGGAGACCAGCTGGGACGTGTCTTCGGAGCAGGTCCCAGGTGGGGGTTCAGTGTAGCGGCGTCTTTCCCACGGGCTGGGGCCGTAGCCGGAGCCTCGGTGCTGTTTTGTGTGGCTTTGGCCCATGCAGAGCTCAGGGGGAGGCGGATGGAGGGTGAAGGCTGTTGGGTCACATCGGTGGCATTGCCCACCTCGTGCTAGAGCAGCTCATGAGTGGCTTAAAAGTGCAAGTCTTTGAGGGCAGATTTTTTTTTTTCCCTCTGTCTTCATGTTTCATAGCAGCTGAATTATACTTGGATTATTTTCCCAACCTTTTGTTCACAGCTCTGAGAGCTCAGGACTTGTTTTTAAAGGAAACTGAGAGTTTTAAGTATTTGGGTGAGTCTGTGAGAAGAAGCTTTTGGAAGAAGAGCCAGGCTCTAAACAGGAGTGCTGATGATTTGGGGAGTCAGACAGCTTGCTCTGTGCTCCTGACAGTCTCCCTCCATGAGGTTCATCAGGCAGAGAACGACACAAACTCCTCTTACGAGCAGGGAAATGGGGGACTGTGGAAAGCAGCAACTCTACAATGCCCTATGCTAGTCATGGCCGACTTCAAAATGCTCCTTGTTCAGCATCACCTCGCTGAAGGTGGACAGTTTGGAAAAGGGGTGACTAATAACACGTCAAGGCTAGAGTTTGTGGCTATTTTCAGAGTTTGCTATGAAAGAGCAGAAATCTTTTATAAGGATTTTGATCAACTGGACTCAAAATGTGGTCCTGCTACAGGGCTGGATTATTTCTTACAGGAGGAAAAATTCCCTGTAGAAAGAATGAGAAACTTTGTTAGTGGAGGTGAGACTGGCAGACAGTGTTTGCTGTGTGCAGACACCTGCAGCTGACAACTTGCTTAAGCCAGAAAGGTCCAGGGGCCGGTGCAAGAACAAGCCAAACAAGGTTTGGGATCTGTTTCTGGCTCTTTGCACGGGCTGGCTTGGTGACCTTGGCCAAGGCCCTTCTCTCCCTTGTGTTACTGTTTGTAAAAGGTTGAGGAGACTCTGTGGCTTTTATAAAATGCTTTAGGAGCAAAAATAGGCTTGTGTTGAGGACAGTGACCAGCTGCTTGAAATGAATAGAGCCTTTGTAGGGGCTGGTGTTCTTCCCCCCCATTTCAGCTCTCAGTTATTTGTGCTCCCTCAGGGATTCAGGATGGGACAGCAGTTAAACAAATGGCAGAACTATCTGTCTTCCATAGCTTATGTGCCATCGAGCATTATCTGCATTTTAAACCGATTGCAAGGCCTCTGTTTTGCAAAAACAAGTCTCTGGCTTGGTAGCTCCATCCCCTTTTGGCTACTGAGGCAGGAGCTGATCCCATCCCAGTGGGGCAAGGATGTACTGGGCTGCTGTGGGATGTGCTGCTCTGCAAAGGAGACCGAAGGTCACCAAATCATTATCTCTGTGGCTGTTGGCAACTGCCGCTGAGTGCAGTGTTCCTATGATTATAAACCTTTGACTCCTTTCCTGCTGGCTGGTGCTCCTGCTGACGTAGGGGCTTGCTCAGCTCAGGCTTGCTGGGTCATTAGTCCATTGGCAACCAGGGTGGTTGCTTAGCTGAGACTACAGCAGAAACACTGACTGCTCAAGGGTTGTTCTGAGGTGTTTGAGGACAAAATCAAACCAGAACCCTGGCAAAATAACCCCTGGCTGGCTAGATTAAAAAAAAGGATAAGGTGAAAAACCTGCTTGAAAAACTAACATTCTGCCTCCCCGGGTTTGTTGTGTGGTTGAGATCAGTTTTGTCGCCCTGTGAACTGCTCGGACCGCTCTGCTGGGCTGGGCTGTTGAAGTAGGCAGGGTCCTGCCCCAGCCCTGGCTGCATTTCAGGGATAGTTGAGACGGAGCTGGGTTTTGCTGCTCTGCTAATTATAAAGTACCTGAAAGTTACTTAACATTATTTTCAGTAGTGTGCTTTCCTGGGGGAGAGCAAGTGTCACAAGCCTGCGGTGCTTCCCCTGAGCTCCCCTTCCATCAGCATCCAAAGGTCTGTTGGTCACAAAGGAGAATTAGAAACCTCCACGTTGTGCCCTGCTCTCCGACCAGCCCGCTGCTCCCAGCAGTCCTGCTTGCCGTTGCTCTTCCAGCTCTCTGCATATGTGACCGTGAGCAGATCATCCCACCCCAGTGCCTCGCTTTCCCCTGCAGCGTGGGGACACCAACCCTAGTTCCTTTGCGATGGGAGGATGCGAAGTGCCCTTGGAGCATGGATATTAACATGTCCCCTGGCATTTCTCCTATCCTGGCTGATCATGTTCTCACAGGATTCTTCAAGAGATTTTGGGTCTTGTGAAATAGCGCTAGGAAGCCGTTAAAAATAACCTTGTTTAGTTGTTTCCTAAAACCAGGAGGTCACTAAGTGACCTTAGATTAGTCCTGTCATAGGCCTGCAGCTCCGTTTCCCAGTCTGGTAATTAAGGATAACTACTTTTTAAGGGAACTTTGAGGATTGAGCAGTGACTTCTTTAAAGAAACCTGAACCCAGGCTGCTCTCATTCTCAGAGATGGACCCTGCTGCTCTTCATTGTGCCATCATCATCCCCAAGACAGCTTTTGGGGGCTATATAATTTTAGCTGGAGTTTTTCAGGGTGGTGTTGTTTACTACTGTGGGCTCTGCCGTGTCTCGCTGCCTTCCCTGCCTGGGCTCGGGTTCCCAGGTGAGCAGCAGCAGCCTTTTGGTACTGGTGGAGGCAAAGGGCCGTATCGAGTGCCGGGAACACTCTGCAAATTTAATGAGGCAGGAAGGAGGCACATGCTGCCTCGGCTTGGATGCTGCTGCCTGGTTCCTCTCCTTGCATTACAGCATCGGGAGTGCTGGGGCTATTTTAGGCTCTGCTTTTATCTAGCATCCACTTCCATTTGTATTAGCAGAGACCCAGACTTGGCTCTTTTCTGCCCATCTCTAGTGCAGAACCCGAACTGTGTGGCTGAGACTGGGCTCACCTCTGGCTTAGTTGTCTGTCCATGTGCCTTGGTGCTGCAAGTCATCTTTTTGCTGAACTTTCCCTGTGTTGTTCAGAGATGGATGCCTCCTGGGACCTCTTTGTTCATCCTGGGACAAAGCGGTAATTCCTTAGCAAATAAACCCCAGGGTGCCACAGGGTGCCACGTATGTGATTCCATGTAAAAGGAAATGCTCTGTTGTTCCACACAAGTGAAATAGTTGTGCAAGTATCACGCTGAGACACCAAGTGCTTGGAGCAAAAGGATACCTGGCTGGAGGAGCTGGGAACAAACCCTCTCCCCTGCATCCTGGGCTCCTCTTTGGGCTGTCAGACCTCTCCACCCACCCTCCTGTGCTGTCTGTGCAGGCTGCTCTGCAGTGCCTAGAGGTGCCAGCCAAGGCAAGGGCTCTTCTGGGCAGCCTCTGCTCTGCAAAACAGCCCAAAATACAGGAGAGCAAAATCACGCTGGTGTGGCTTCCATTAGCAGGGCAGAGCTGTGAGGAGCAGCCAGCCCTGCCTGCTGGGCTTCAGCCCCGCTGCCCCGTGGCTGCACTGGGTTGGTCTTTGTGGTCACCAAAAGCCTCTTTGCTTTCCAGCCTGTGCCTTCGCTGGTCTCTGGAACTGCGTCACCATCAACCCCATGAACATTGCGGCCGGTGTGTGGATGATGTGAGCTGAGTTTCTCTTCTTTTTTTTTTTTCTGGGAGGGAGATTTGGTTAATTAAATGTCACTGGGTAAGGGGCAGAGCTGTTCTGCTTGGGCAGTGGACATGAGGGAAATGTCCATCAGGCACTGCAAATTACCAGATCTTGCTCCATCAGGTTGCCCAATGCTGGGTTTATTCTATTTATATACTTTCTTTACCCATTTTTAAGTAAATACTGAGATACCCTTATCCAAAGTAACTCTGGGGCACCAGCATTTGGGAATTATCAAGAAGGGGGGAGGGAGCACAGTGAGGTCCAGCCCTGCCATTCCTCCTGCCTGCGTTTGGCCATGGGAGGGGCTGGTGTCGGGGGGGCACTGCTGACCCTCGGTGGGGCCACGTGGGCAGGATTAACTCTGGTTTGCTCTATCTGGAGGCTCAACGCCTTCGTCCTGTTCCTGTGCGAAGCCCCCTTCTGCTGCCAGTTCATCGAGTTTGCGAACGCCGTCTCTGCGAGGGCGGACAAGCTGCAGCCCTGGCAGAAAGCTGCTTTCTACTGCGGGTGAGGATGCTCCTGGGGTGCGTCATGGTGGTGAAACCATCCCAGGAACCGTGTTGGGATGCACGTGGGCATCCCCGCATCCTGTGCGGAGCGGAACCTGGCCCTGAGGGCTGCCCCTCTCTTCCAGGATGGCCGTGTTCCCGGTCGTGCTCAGCCTGACCTTGACCACGCTCTTTGGAAATGCCATTGCGTTTGCCACTGGCGTGCTTTATGGCCTGTCAGCGCTCGGCAAAAAGTAAGAGAGATGTCTGCTTGTGGAGGGGAGGGAAGGGGAAGGGGGGGCCTCCAGCCCTCATGCCCATCTGCCTCCCTAAGGCTGTGCCGTGCTTTTTTTACTAACCCTGCTTTCAGGTGTAGGTGCTGCTGGAGAGCATCGCCCTGCCATCATCTCAAAGCCCTGGGAGGGAAGGCCTTTTAGACTAGATGTCAGGAAGTATTTCTTTACAGAACAGGTTGTTGGGCGTTGGAAGGGGCTGCCCAGGGAGGTGGTGGAGTCCCCATCCCTGAAGGTGTTCAAGAGTGCTGAGGGATCTGGTGGAGTTGGGAATGGTCAGTGCTGGGTTAATGGTTGGACTGGATGATCTTCGAGGTCCTTTCCAACCCAGTTGATTCTGTGATTCTGCCTTAGGGTTTGCTGAATCTCTGAGCTTTTCCTTGGGAGCTCCATCTCGGTTGCCTGGTGGGTCCCAGCCCTCTTTCTGCAGCCGTTGGATGGGTGGGCCCAGCTCTGGGGGCGGTGAGAAGCTTTGGCAGGGTTAGAGAGGGCCAGCAAGTTTCATTTCACTCCGGGCATCCCTTGGCATGGGAAGGCCAGGGCCCTGGCTGGGACACCTCTCTGCCAGGGGCTGTACCCGCCATGGTGTGCCCCCTGAGCTCACATCCACACGCTGTCCCTTCTCTCTGCAGGGGAGATGCCATTTCCTACGCTCGGATCCACCAGCAGCAGAAGCAAATGGATGAAGAGAAGCTCACAGGGACCCTGGAGGGACAGCCTCTCTGAAGCACGTGAGCTCAGGGTATCCTCTCCTGGACACTGAGATGGTGAAGATCCAGAATTCCACTCTGCCCTTTCCCTTCTCTGTTACACCACAATTTCCCTGGACACTGCAGCAACTGGAAATCTCAGGGGCTGGGCCAGGCTGTGCCCTCTTCTCACACCAGCAGCCAGACCTCAGTGCATTGGCCCCTCTCTCCTTCTCAACCCTCAACCAAATATCTCTCAGTTCTCCTACTTTTTAATTTTTATGGTTTTTTTTTTTCTGCAGAGGTGCTGGCTCTTTGAGTGCTGCTTTACAAGCCTGACTAGGTAGCCTTTCTTTGGAGTGATGCCTGATAACGAGCTGAGGATGCAGTGCTCACTGGGGAACTGCTCTCCAGATGGGGTGAGGAGCGACAGAGCTGATGTGCCAGCTCCTTGCCTGCGCTGGTCTCCTCGGAGTCAGGGACCTGCTGGCCTCATGCCTGGGGGTAACCTGCCATTGCACGTTACACCTTTTGAGTAACGCTCTCTGGTGTGGCCCTTCCCAGCTAGAATACACTAATCCAAGGTTTAACAATACATGGTGATACTCAAGCTTGATCTTCTTCCATTGAGTGTATTTTAATATGGGTCCAGCTAGGCCAGGCATCGGAGGCATCGCTGCATGGGAAAGGACTGCCAGCAAAAAAACCATCTACAGACAGAAACTGTCTCTGCAGGGGAGCTGCCAGAGGTGCTGGGGCAGATCCTGGTACCTACAAAGCACAGTCCCCGCTTCCTCTGGACGCAGCTGCAGGCAGTTACTGCAATTTACTTGAATTATAAGAATTAACTACTTTGTCTTAATAAGGGTACTTTTCTTAAACTTCACTCTTCTACTGGGGAAGAAGGAAAATAAGGTTTGCTTTACCTCAGCAAAAAAAATGTACTATTGCTTGAGCCAAGTGGGATTTTTTTTGCTGGTGTAAGGGTTACTGATGTGCAAAAGCATCCTTCTCTGGTGAGCCTGGGACTCTGCTCTGGTATCTCACTCCCCAAATCTGCTCCTGCTCCTGTGACCCATCCCTCCGTGCAAGGGACCTGCTTTCTGCCTCTGTCTGGTGCAGCCTTTCTGTTTGGGCTCATGTTCTTTTTGCATCAGTCCTGGGCTGGTTTTATATGGGAAGGTGGCATATCCTTCCTTTGCAAACAGAGAGAAATCTGCACCATTTCAGTGCGGACAGCTGGGATGTCTTACTTCTTTATTCCAGTCTCCATCAGTGGTTTTTGCATCGTATTTTCTGTTTGCTTTGTATCATGCAGAACAAAACTGCTTGCTAAGTCCAGATCCCCCTCGTCATGGTTTCTTCTGAGGGTTTTAATTTATTTGACTTTACATGATTGCTTTTCGTTTTGATTAGTAAAAAGGAGAATAATTTATTTCTAGTTATTTAAGTATTTTGATGGGACTCGTTTTCTCTGGACGTAGGAGAAAGCAGTGCTCTCTTTCCTGTCCTTCAAAGGACTGCCTCCATTCACTGGGGGGGGTCTCTCTGAACCCAGGGAGAGCCCTGGCTGCTCTAACTGGGATGCTGTAACTGGGATGCCGTAAAATCCCATTTCAACCTTCAGAGTGTTTCTCATACTTTTGGAAAGTGGATTGTCCTTTCACCCCTTTGTTTTCTTCTGGGCCACTGACTTGACAGTTTGTTTTCCCTCTCCTGGGAGAGAGAAGGGAGGAAAACTGGGCTGTAAGTGCTGGGCTGGAGGTTTGTACTCTCATTCAGCAGCCCTGGGAGCTGAGCTCTTGCTGCCACCAACGCTCTGTGGTCCCATTTGAATCACTGGGGTACCAGAGGGGTCATGCTGTGGTCTGAGAAACGCTGCTGGAGGCCGAGTGCTGTCTGTCAGCTGCTGGAAACTATCTGTATAACCTGTCCTTCCTCTGGGTACGGGTGTCTGTATTCTCCCTGGCAGAGCCTGGAAGGGAGCTGCTGCTGGAGGGGTGGCTGGCTACGGGTGCAGGATGGTCCCTGGAGGTTGGGGGGCTAAGCTGCCCGCTAACCTTAGCTGTTCGTTCTTCCTTGCAGTTCAGGGAGGTGTGAGGATTTACACCAGGCAGGAACGCAGCTTGGGTTTATTTACACACAGGGGCCTTGCAGCTGGATGCTGGGTGGCCACTTTGTGCTAAGCCCTGTCCCCTCAGGCCTCTGAACCGTGACTGCTCTCACACCAGCTTGTCTGGGAGGCAGAACAGGCACCGCCAGCCCAGCTGCAGTTTGTTTTAATAAAGGCTGCGCCGTTTCGGAGCTCCCAGCTCTGGGCTGATCCCTGTTGCCACATGCAATACCTGGGGCACCGGCCTTCCCTGTGCCTGTGTGTGGGGACAACAGCCCCCTGCGTGGGTCACGCTGCCGGCCGTGCTGGGGTGCTGCAGGAGGAACACACCGCGGGAGAGTCCAGGGGAATAACCTCTCTGCTCTTCGAGCCAGCGGTGCCCCTGTGCCCTACCTCTACCGGGTGGTTGAAGTGCAGAGTCCTGCCTAGCAAACAGGACATCTGCTTTGATTTCAGGGGGGTTTGGGGTGTTAAGTAGTGTTTAGGAGAGGAATTGTTGCAGACTGATGCACATAGCTACGAGCATGTCTTTGGTAGTGACTGCTTTGCTCTGTGAGTAGTTCCACAGTAGCTTTAGTGACAGGAGGTGGAAGGTAAAGCAGAGGTGATAGAGTAACTCTTGCTGGTGGATCTACACCCACGGTGATGAACCACAGAACTGGTAGGACCCTCGCTGGCTTCATCTGATTGTCCCAATGCCGCAGACCAGCAGCAGTCCCTGGGGCTGTTGCAGGCAGGTGCTGCTCCAGGTCACCTGGAGGGATCATCAGCACAAACAGGTCCGCTCTGCTCCCTCAGCACGACCAGCAGAAGTCCCTTAGGTGCCAGCAATACTGTCCAGCTGCATTTTGTGGCAGTTGGGTGTCACACTGGGGCCATGGCAAGTGAACAACCTGCATCTGCTCTGCCACCGTTAGCAGGCTGCGCAGCTCAGCTCCGAGCTCGACGCTTTTGTTGAAAACTGGCCTCAGGGATTCTTCTGTAAGAGCTGAGCTGGAGCCTTTGACCACAATGCTTGAAGACACCGGGTCTGTTCAGTGTCTGATCCGTGCTCCAAGAGTGCTGACTCCTACAGATGCATGTCTGGAGTGGGAGCTCCTGGGGAATTTCAGCTGTCTGTGATGCGGCTGAAACCAAGCCAGATGCTGCCATTGAGGCTTGGTGACAGCACCCGTGGCTTTTAAAAGTAGTAGGGACAGTTAGTGGGTGGTGTCACCTCCGTGTGAGCAAGACACTGTTTTTATGGAGATAGAAAGGACCTTTAGAGTAGTAGCATCACAATAGTTAATCACAGTGCATGGCAGTTATTAATTGTGTTTAGAGGCACCATCAGGGTGCTTGGAGTTGTGTAAGGATAAATGAAGTTAAAAGCCCTGCTCTAGAGGTTTTACAGGCTCAACCCAATCCCCGCTGATGGCGTTCAGGCTGGATGGCTAATCCATGGGGTCTCTATGGAAGAGGTTCTGCTTGCCAGGTCTTGAAAAGGCCTCTTGGGAGACAATGGGACACCAGTTTTGTTACGTGAGAACTCAAGAGCGGGTGATGCATTGGCTACAGTGAGTTGTTGACATCAAGTGTGGAAAGACACCTGGGTACTGGCAGGACACGTGCACTTAGCAATGGACTGTTACACTGTTCACCACGTGAGCTGGGCACTTCTTACCCATGTGCATTTATACAGCGTGAGACTCTTCCACGTCCCATTCAGTCATGAAGTTGACAGCAGTTGGGCATATTAGCTCCACTGTTCCCTGGGGCTGTCCACTGGGTGTGAAGAGAAGAGCAGAAGCTCGCTTTCTGCTGCAGACCCAGACCTCGCTGCTCTGGGCAGGAGCTGGTTTTGTAACACCAATTGATTCTGTGTGTGCAGTGAATAAAAAGACCATTCTACCTCTGGAAAGAGCCACTGTGATTTCTCAGACTCTAAATGTAGCAAAAGCGCTCAGACTTTCTATATTGAAGAAAGGAGGTCACTCAGAAAATACTTCTCCAGTGAGGTTCTCACAGGACCTGAAGAGTCCAACCTCATTTCATATTCGGGCATTTCCTCCTTAGGCCAAGCCCTGGGAAGCTCAATTCATCTGTGTCATTTTTTCCTCAGGAAAAAACATCCACTGTCTTCAGGGAAGGGTTTCACTGAAGTGAAGATATCAAGACCTGGTCCATAGCCATGTGAGAAAGAGAACGCTCTAGCACAGGGCTGCCAGAGATCCTGATCTTCAGAAGGTCAGTGGAAATCAGAGGCTCTTGAGACCTCCTATAATCAGGCCATGCTTAGAAACACTCATATTCCAGCCAGAGCTGAACATCTTTCTGGAAATGGGTCTCAGCTGCAAAGGTTAGGTCTAATACTGAATTTTTTCTGTGGTTTTGATTTTGGCCCATCTCTCTTCCTCTGTCCCAGGCTGCTTTAAATTAATCCTCTGATAAAACACATCTCTTAAAGTGATTTCTCTCATCTCCTGCTCCAGGAGATCTAAATAGTATCTAGGACATCTTGAGATCTGGGTCAAATATGCTATGTTTCCTTGTCACAGCAGGCTGAATGTTCCAGGCATGGGAGGACACAAGCATCCCCACCAGCTCTTGGGGTGCCAAGTGCATTTCAGGAGGTTGGGCAAATCATCTCCCAACTCAGCCTTTGTTGTTCTGCCCTTTTGGGAGAAGTTAGGTTGGATGTGATATGCAGCAAGGCCATCTGTTCCTCACGGCCATAACCACCTTCTGCACCTAGGGTTAGGCTCTAAAAAAGTTTTTAAAAAGTCCTTAATCTTGCAGGACACACAAGAAAGGGGTAAGAGCAATTTGCTACTAACTATGCAGTTGAAATCTCAGAGTGATGGAGGTGGAGGCTCCCTACACAGCCGTGATGGGGGCGCATCCACCTTCCTCTTTGTGAGTAAAAACCTGCGGTGGGAGGGACCCACCCACCCCAGTACAAAGTATTGTCAGTACCCACCGTGTCTTTCCTCCAGTGAATCACTTGCACTACAGTTGAATGTTTGTCTGTTCCCGTTCTTTGTTTTGTCCTGGATTTTCTTTGTGAACTGTATTTGGTCTTGTTCATTAGGCTTCTAGTGTAATGTGTGTTTTTAGAGCAATAAAACGCGGCAGCTTTTTATACAAAATATCTGACTCTGCCTCTTTCACGGTCCTTAAGTACATGAGACTCATCTGGGCAGGCTGTTGTGGTCCCCTTGTCACCATCCCGGTCTGCCTCTCCCATCCCACGTGCCTGCAGCTCCCTTCTCTGTAAATCAAGGCAACACCTTGCAGTTGGAGGCAAAACTGGTTTATTATTGCAACTACACAGTGAACTTTTGCTAAAACAGCTACAACTGTTAATGCTGTTCCAGCCCAACCCTTGGGCTCTCGGGCTGCTTTGGTGGCTGCTGAGTGAAGGTTGTGCCTGGTCTGCTGTCCACAGCCACACCTTTTATTTTCCAGGACGTCTTTATCTCCAGCCTGGTCCTATACCTTGGGTTGACATGCTGCCCAGAGAGCAACAGGTAGTGTTGAATGGTGGGAAAAGAAAGTAACGTTCCAGTTGGCAACTTCTGCATCTAAAGCGAGATGACTATTGCCACCCATTCCTCTCCCGTTGCCTTCTCAGAGAGCTCCAGCCTCCACCTCCAGCAGCACAACAGTTTTCTTTGTTGCCCTTGAGTATATGGACTGGTAGCCTGGCACGGTGGGCAGATGGCAGCTCCTACCTCATGAATGACCTCCGGCCAGTCCTGAAGAAGGCCTCAATCTGTTCCAGGGACCTGCCTTTGGTTTCTGGAACACAGAAGCCTGTGAATAAGATGTTCCCAGCACAGATGATGGTGAAGAATAGGAAGGGCACCTCGAGGCCAAAGGCGTGCTGGAAAGTGGGACAGAAAGCAGACATGAGCTGGTGCAGAGGGGATCTGAGGAGGGGCTGCTGGATGCCCTCCCCGGGCAATACCCACCACGACCCAGAGGAAGAAGTAGGTGAGAGTGAAGGCTGTCAGCCAGCTCACAACGACGCAGAGGCCAGAGGCCACCCCACGGGCTTTCAGAGGGAGGATCTCTGACATCAGCAGCCAGGTGATGGGGCCCCAGCCCATGGCATAACCTGCAGGGAAGGAGGGGTAAGGGGAGGCTGTTGAGCCTGCGAAGCCCACTGCAGAAGAGCCCTGTGCAATCCTGCCCTGTTCCCCCATCAGTCATTATTCCCTCCCATTCATGCTCTGTTTGTCCTCAGAGTGACTTCAGATGCCATCCTTCTTGGTCTACCAGGAACATCTGCCTGCCTTCTGACTCCAAGCCCGACCTCCTTGCTCTGTATCACCCCATCTTGGATGAGAAATGTCCTCCCCAGCTGGTACCCAGCCCCGTGCTGTGGTCCTGGGCTCTGTCTCACTCTTTGCACCTACCCATTATGAAGAACATGGTTGCCAGGAGGGGGATGAGCGTGATGTAGTTTATCGGCTCAGCAGGAAGGTTGGCAGAGCTCACCAGGGTCTTGTTGGCAATGGTGCCGTTCTGAGAAGCTGGCACGAAGTGGATATAGAGCCCCATGGTCAGGTTGGAGACCAACATGACACCAGCTGTGGAGAGATGCAACAGCACAGTGGGACTGATGGGTGGGTGGTGCCCTCCATGCCAAGGACTGAGCTGCCTCTGCTCAGGAGCTGAGCCACCACCAAATAAGAGAGACCTCCCCCACTCCCTGCCCGAGTCCTGCACGGCTGAAGTTTCCACTCCGGAATGGTTTTAGAGCTCTTGGAAATCCTTCAATCAGAGCTTCCCTTGCGCAACAGTGGGAGAGAGACATACCTGATACAAAAAGAAGAATCTTCCTCCCAGCTTTATCCATCGACACAGCAGCAATCATCACTGAGAACAGACGTACCAAGCCAACAAGAGCTGCATCGTACTCTGGTTTCTGCAACAGCAAAAGCAGTGGGGAAGCTGAGATGGGAGAGCAAGGGAAAGGGCAGGTTTCTACATGTGTTGCCTTGACTCGAGCTGATGACTTCATTAAAGCTGTCCTCCTATAGTGAGAGGCCAGAGGAGAAGAGTGGGGAGCCAGTCTGGCTCCCCATCCTCATGCAGCCTTTCACAGGGCAGGTGCTTGGCAATTGCTGCCAACCAGGTGCTTTAAAAAAGGCTTCAGATTTGGGGTCTTAGAGCTGCAGGGGACTTGGAGTACTGGGCAGCCATCACTGAAGATGAGGCAGTCCGAGCACAGGCTGAACCCCAGGGCTCACCAGGATGACAGATGTTTTCTTGAATATTGACTGCAGGTACACAAGGATGCAGGTGACCCCCGAAAGCTGCTGCAGGAACCTCATCCCCACCGCGATCAGGATGGGCTTGTAAATGAAGGGGTCCTTGATCTCAGCACAGGAAACCCGCTGGCTCTGGAGGGGACAAAGCCAGAAAGTCATTACCACCTCCGGGCACCACTGTGACACCCAGAAGATGACTCTGGAGTTGCCCAAAGGAGGCTGAATTTTGCAGTTTTCACATTACATCTCCACTGGGCTGGAGGTGAGCTGCCTCACCTGCTTCCTCACACTGTCCTTGATCTGCTCATACTCCCGGGCATAGTCCGTGTCCTTGCCCCGCAGCCAGCACAGCGATGCCAGGGCCTTGTCATCCTTCCCCTGGGAGAGCAGGAACCGGGGCGAGTTGGGCATGAAGCAGAGCAGGATGATCATCACCAGCACGGGCACCTCCCCTGCGACAGCCAGCCAGCGCCAGTCCAGGACCAGCCCTGCTGGGGCAGGATGGTTAGGAGCAGAAAGCACGCAGGGAGGGGTGTCCTGGCCTTGCCCCCATGTAAGGACCCCAATGTTTTAATTTAATAAATCCAGTGATGAAAAAAAAAGAGATTTTGAACATGTTTTTCTCCTAGAAAAGAAGCATTTTCAGTTGTACAATACGGGGAAATTCCAGCAAGCTTGCCCAAATCTCCAGCAAAATCCTGCAGCAACCAGGGCATGTGCTGGCAAGAAATGCACCTGCAGTTCATCATGTGCTGCCCTTCAGCCCTGACAAAACCCCGGCAGGACCCAGATCTGCAGGCACGGTACCGGCCACGGCTCCGTGGGTTTGTGGCTTCATTCCTCTGAGCACACACAGAGTGACCCAATCCGGCCCCCCTTTGCACACCCATGGTGGTGGTTGTGAGCTGGCTGTGAGGGGAAGGAATCCATCAACTTGCTGAGAAAGTTGTTTAAAATAAACTCCCCTTTGCTAAGGTTTTGCTGAGGGTTTCCTGCCCTCCGAACACCAAGATACTTGCCCAGTGCGTACAGGACAAGGGAGCCCAGCACTGCCATCATCTGAGGACAAGCGCCCAGCATGCCTCTGACACCGGGGTGGGAGATCTCTGAGATGTAGACCTGGGGCGGGACAACACACACTTAACAGAGCTGCAACATACAGCTGTCACCACCAAAACCTCTCCTCTGTCACCTCGCAGTCATCCACTTCAACCAGGGGAAACCCAAACTGCTGGGAAGCTGCCTGCTCATGGTGGGAACCTGCCTGGTCTGGCAGCGTGAGCTGGTCACAGAATCATCTCGGTTGGAAAAGATCTTGAAGATCCTCCAGTCCAACCATGAACCTCACCCTGTTCCCAACCCCACCGGATCCCTCAGCGCTGGGTCAGCCCGACTCTTCAGCCCCTCCAGGGATGGGAACTCCCCCCTGCCCTGGGCAGCCCATTCTGGCAGGAGGAGAGGAAAAGCCTTGCAGGAGCCACCACTTCCCTCCCTCACCCTGGTGTGGGTAAGTGCTCCAGCCACACGCTCGGACTCCCGTTACTGGAAGGATGTGCCCCAGCGTTACTCAATTCTTGCCTTCCCCTCTGTGTGCAACACAAGGTTGGCATTCAGTAAAGACGGGAGGAGACAACTGCTGGGAGGAACAGGGCAGGGATCGAGGACTTGCCTTCCTTCTTCTGCAGGCAACAAAAGCCAGCACCGTGGGGCAGCTCGGGCTGGCTGCACCAGTGCTGCTAACCCCGTGCATCCTCCCCATCCCAAATCGCCCAGCCCTGAAGCTCTGCTGATGACTCCAAAAAGCAGCAGGATGCCGCCATGGCACCACCCCGAGGTTTCTCATCATGCAAATCCCCATCGAACTCCCGCCCGCAGCAGGTTACCGGGATGGAGGCGGAGGTCACGCCGCCGGCGTAGCCCGTCAGCACGCGGCCCAGCAGCAGCATCCCGATCCCCTGGGCACTGGCCATCAGCAGGTATCCCACGGCGGAGGGCAGCGCCGAGAACATGATGCTCAGTTTGCGGCCCAGGCGGTCATTGAGGAGCATGGCACTGAGCCCCCCCGCCGCCGCTCCCAGCATGAACACCGACTGCAGGGATACACGGACCGGGGCCTCGGTGGGTCTGGGCTCCCCCCGCACACCCACTGCCTCTGCTCCCACCACCCCTGGCAGGAACAAGCCCCCTCCTTACCCCGAACCAGGACGCTGCGTATCGGTCCAGGCGCAGCGCAGGGCTGGGGTAAGCCTCCAGGGCAGGGATGACGGGCGAGGGGTAAACCAGGGCGAAGCCAAAACTGAAGTTCCCCAGGACAGCAGCAAACACAGCCAGGTAGAGCCGCTCGTTCTGGAGGCTCCTGAGGGAGGGACAGAGTGAGAAGGATGTGTTGGGTGCCCTTATCACACCCGGAAGAAATTTTAACTCTGTCTTCCAGCTTCCCCCAGCCTTTGCCGAGGCGGACACCCATGGAGGGCTTTTCCCAGGGAATGGCCATACACAGGCCCAGGCTGGTGGGGTTTCTCTGAGTGGAGCAGCAGATGCTCCTGCCCTGTAGTGGGGTGAGAGCTTGTCCCTCCGTGCACCCCTGATGTTTTCCTCTGCGCCGGGCGGTTTTCAGCAAGCTGAGAAAAGCAGAAGCTGCAGCCAGGCGGCACCTCAGACCTCGCAGAGCAGGGAGGGGGCCCTGGTTCCCCCAGAAGGACTTTATGCTCCCACGACAGTCAGATGCCCAAAAGCACACACACACACAGAGCTCTCCCAGGTGGGCTCATCCAGCACCGCACACCCTGGGCAGGATGAGACCCCATCTCAAGGCAGCTCAGGAATGACAGCGGCGTGAAGCAGCTCTTCTACCACCTCCCCTCAGCCCAGTGCTCTGGGGATGGGGGGCACAGCCCACCCCCCAGCCACCCCCGTGGCCCCAGCCCTTACTGCAGGTATTCCTTGTCGAGCTTCTTGCCAGCGCTCTCGGGGAAGGTCCGATACGAGGAACTCGTCTTCCTCACGAGGGGCTCCCGTGCGCTCGGCTCCATGGCAGTGCCGTGGCTGGTGCCTGTCGCTGTGTGGGTGCTGCTGTGCTTGGGGCTGTCTCCAGAGACGGGGAGGAAGAAGTAGTTGAAAGCGAAAGGGGAGAGACTGCTTGGCCTTGCCTAATCAGAGAAATCTGTGCTTCGTGGGCTTGCCCTGGCCAGCCTCTGGGGAGGAAACCGGGGGTGGGGGGGCAGAAAACCAGCAGACAAAGAGCCATGGGGAAATGACGGTTCTCTGCAAGCCTTCACCCTGCACCCACCCAGCCCTTGGCCCTCCCAGACCCCATCAGCACCAAAATCCCTCACTGCAGCGGCTCTGACAGGGATGATCCTTGCAGAACCATTTCCACCAGCAGAAACATCCCTTTGCTAAGGCCACGTCTCTCCCTCGAGGAACCGGTATCAGTTTAGACTGGCCAAACACCGCTTCTTTGTACATTGATAAATAACACAACGTGAGCCTCCGCAGCCTTGGGAAGGGCTTTCAGCAGAGACCAGAGGTGAGGAAGAGGAAGGAGAAGAAATGAGGTGAACATGGGACACAGGGAGCAGGTGAGGGGGATGAAGAGTGCTGATGAGGATGGAAAAGGGGAGGGCAGCATCTCTGCTGCATTGGGTGCAGCTGCTGGGGGTCCCAGGTTGCCCATGGGTGCCTTTGCCCCCTTGCTCTGGCCCCGCAGGGCTCAGTGGGCAGCGTTGTGCTGGGGCTTCTGCAGGTCCTGGGGGGCTGCAAGGTCCAAACTCGCCCTGTAGGAAAGGCAGGGACACACCTACTGTTGTTGCACTTGGATTTAATTAGTAAAAGATGTTTTTCCCTAAACTACTGTAGTGCTCTTCTTGTTACCATCATTCACCTTAGTCCCTGGTGCTTTTGGGACCACCTGGGTGGTTTCTGTATCCCCCAAGCCTGCGTGGGAGCCCCGGTGACACTTCAATGTCAACCAGGACCTGTTACGCTCTTCCCTTTGTGCAATCTGGTTCCTCTTCTGCAACCACAAAGTGCTGAATTTAGTCTCTGATCGATGCTGGGAATTTACAGCTGACTCAGGCACTCGGGGCTGTGATTTCTCTGCAAGAAGAAAGGTCATGGAGCAAGGGGACATCAGGCCAGCTCATCCAAAAACTTTCCAGTGCTGTGTTGGTCTGAGCAGGGATGTCACAACAATCTCCACCTGAGCTGGAGCTGGTCCCTGTGCCCTGGGCTCCCCCTCCATCAGCAGATGCCATCGGCCACCTCTCTTGCTTGTGCTTTGCTCTGCACATCTGGGCTAGCAAAGCCTGTTTGCTCCCACGCTGGCCATGATCTGTGCAAGTTCATGGCCCTGCATGTGACAGCAGGGCTTGGACAGGCTGCTGGTTGCAGCTTGCAGACCAAGGAAAATCTGCAAATGAGTGGCCTTAGGGAATTTGAAGAGGAAGGCTGCTGCAAATTCGTAAGGCCACTCACTGAGAAAGTTATTCTTTATCTCCTCTGCCCCTCCCAGACCTCAGCTTTTTCCCCAAATCGTGTATACTGAGTCTCTGCCACGCAATATTTGCCATCTTCCACCCCAAAGCAGCTGCCTTTCAGCCCTACAAGGAGTTTAAAAAAGGCCCCCAAAAGCAAAGGGCTGTAGCAGAGGGGGTGTGGAGGTCTGCGGGAGGGTGCTGCTGGGGCTGGTCTGGGTGAAAAAAGGCTGCAGGTGCTGAGCATGATGGTGCTCACTGGGGAACGTGCCTGCAAGGTGTCTGGGGGCTGAGGCTGCTGCAAGGTAAGGGCTTTTCTCTTTTTTTTTTTTTCTCTATGATCTTTGTTTTTCCTCTAAATATCTCTAGTGTGGAGGAAGCTGTGGGCTTGATGCTTAGTTATCTCTGGCTCTTTCCATCATGGAGCTGCTTGGCTGCTGGTTTTTGGGACCGTGGTGGGGCTGAGCACACTGCCCCGGGGCAGAGTCATGCCAGTTCCATGCTTGTGCTTCTTGGAGAGGTTTGTGTGCTGGGTTGTGGGTCCTGGCTGGGTGTGATACTGCTTGGAGTAAGGGTGTGTGAAACTCGCACTGCTGGTCTGCAGTGGGCTTGGGGGGAGCAGAAGAAAGGGTGAGTCTGGTGATGTGTGTGTTGCTCTGTTGTCTGTGTATCTTCTGGATGTTCACATCTCTCAAAGACAGGGGCTGGGAGCTTCTTGTTTTCAGAGATAAAAACTGAAGTAGGGAGTGGTGATGTGCCCTGGTGGGGTGTGAGGAATTGGTGGTGGAGCTGGGCACTGACCCAGCTGTGCAGGCTGGTGGCTCCAACGGACAAAAGACAACTCAGAGCGGACTGAAATGACCGTCTGCATGCAACAACATCTCTTGCTAATTCACCTCTGTCCCTTCAGTCGTTTTTGGACATAGATGTGGCCTGTAGTGAGGGACTTTAGAAAGCAAGCTCTGCATCTCCCCTCTGCCCAGGGCTTTGTGCTCTCTCTGCTCCCAGGAGCAGGGGTGCTGAGCCCCAGGCCCTGGCAGCTCCCTGGGGCTGGGTTGTGTGAGGATGGGTGCTGGGTGGCTGGGGACAGCCTGCTGCAGCCCTGGGACCTGGCAAAACAAGCCTGGGATGCGGGACCTGCTCTGCTGCTGCAGTGGGGTGAGCCTGGCCGTGCTGGTGTGACCCCAACACTGGGGTGCACAAGGGCTGGAGCCCCGAGTGCCACCTCCTGCCTCAAACTGGCTGTTGCCTGCCTCTGATTTAATTCCCCTGCTTCTGGCTACAAAGCAGCTATTAACTGAAGTCAAGCCCCTAAGTGTGCATTAGCTGGTTTGGCTGTATTTATGTGAATGTTTAATTACCGAAGTTTTTCCCTAAATAGCCCTGCCTGTGGGAGGTTTTTGGGAGGGAGCAGGGTGATGCACTGAAGGCTGGCAGTGGCCGCTGCGTTTCCTGGGCTGGGAGTGGTGTCAGGATGGGGCTGGCACCCTGCTCTGGTCTGGGGCCCCTCCTCGCTGTGGCCACTGCACGCACTTGTCGGAGACCTCATGGAAGGACACAGTGTCTGTCCTAAACCTGAAGCCACTGGGACACGGGATAGAGAGGAGTGCTCAACCCAACATCCCCCTGCTTATAATTGGGGGGGGAAGTATATTGGAGAAGAGCCCTGAGCTGGAGCAGTTGGATCTCCCTGAAACGCGAAGGGTTATCCAGTTTCTGTGCAGATTTGTCAACTGCTTCAAACAGGAAATTACTTCGTGTCTTGAAAAACCTCCAAGCACCTGTAAAGCAGGGAAGCACGGGGGAGCCGGCGCCTGCGCTGGGCTAGGGGAGCCAGGGCTGAGCCCCTGGGCAGGTCTGTCCCTCGGTGAGAAGGGGGGTCCCTCAGACCTGGTGTAACGGGTCCCCACACTCGCTTTTGGTGAGCACCACATCCCCGTTCCGCCCTTTTGCTTTCCTTCTCAAAGTGAAGTCTTGGTGAGGAATAAAGCATCCACCGCTCTGTCTCCTCTCCACATCTCCCTGAAGGCTCTCCTGACTTGCTGTAGGTCCTACCAAAACACACGAGGGGTGAGTAAGGAGGAAGAAGCCTCCGCATCAGCGGTGCCTCTGGTGGGCTGTGCTTAGCCATCGACACGGGGAAGGGGCTCCTGCCCTGCTCCCCACCTCTGTGGCAAGGAACAGGGCTCCCGGCCCTCGAGGGTGAACTGGGGAGGAACGAGGCGTCCACTTGGGGAAAGCAGCAAACCAGCCTGTGGCCGATTAAAGGGCAATTTGGTTTTGCTGAGAGCTGTTGGCTGCCTCGGCCGGAGTGATGCATTGCTCCGGCTCAATAGGACCTTCCTCCCCCTCTGACAGCTGTGCAATAGATCATGAACATATGCAAAAAAATAAACTGCATCAAAGCCACTTGGCAACTTAACTAACCCAATTCATAAATTAATTTCTATTCCTCTCGTAAGGGAGAAATCAGTCACTCCTCAAGGCTATTCGTCTCTATCGCTCATCTGGCCACATCCTTTCATAAATCTTCCCCGTAAGTCTGAACTGGTGATTGCTGGGTCAAGACGCAATAACGCCCAGTGCCTGCACTGGGCTCAGGGCAGCCCCGGGGTTGTTTGCCCTGGGTTGGGGCAGGGTGGTTTCTCTCTTCATCACCCACATCCCATAAGGCTGCCGCAGAGCTGGTGTTTTGCAGCGTGGTGCTGCCCTGTGGGTGCAGGTGGGTGATTTTGGGGAGCGTGTGGTCCCCGCCGGGGCAGTGGGGAGGTGTGATGGTGAGCCAGCTCCCTGCAAGACACAGGTGAAGAGCATGTGCTGAGTTTTATGGAGCTGTGCGGGGGGGTGGCTGGTGACTGCAGGGTGCTGGGGGTACGTGGAGGGAGGGTGGGTGCTTGGTGGGGGCTAGCACCCAGCTGGGTGCACCCCTTGTGGAGCTGGAGGAGTTTGAGCCCAGGAGGCAGCTATGGCTGCTCCCGGCTTGTATTGGTTTAATGTATTGGAAAAAAAAAAAAAGGTACGACTAGTGTTGAAAAAATACTAGGTACTTGCTATGACCGTGTTGGAAAAGCCTGCATCTTGCCTCCAAATGAACCTCGAGGAGCTCCATTGTGCATGCAGTGATGTGTTTCAGGGGCTCTGGCCCGCTGGGCAGGGCTGCCTGTCCCTGTGCCTCCTGGATCCCCTCTTGCTGCTTTCCCCCCCCCGGCTTCTGGTGTCCGGACCTACTGACAAAACGGATGGGTTTATGTGGAAATTTTGTGGGGATAAATATTTGCCTGTCAGCAATGCTAGGTCGGAGCATGATTTCTCATGTGCCATTTGGAAATGACATTTCCAAACAAAATTAGAATTCCCTGTTGAGGGTTTTTTTTTGTTGGTTTTAAGTTGAATTTAGGGGGTTTCCTGGTTGTCGTGCTAATAGAGGACTTGTTCACCCCCCTGTGCTCAGAGCGAGGGGTTTTGGTGTCCCGTGAGCTGGAGAACCTGTGTGATCTTCGCCTGGGTGTGGGATTTTCCCGAAAGTGAGATGTTTTTTCCTGCTTGCAGGGCTCTTTTTTCAGA